AGGGGATCAGACACAAAGGCTTCAAGTAACACGTTACTAGTATATAACAAATACTGTATTGAGTTGAGCACGAAGCTCCTATCTAAGAACTAACTATCTACTTATATAGTGGCGTCGTGCCTAGTGGACTCTTGGGAACTCACTCGAGTCCTCGGAGTCCTGGACTCTTAGGACTCTTCTCATCATCCTGCGAGTCCATCACGTGCCTAGTGGACTCCTGGGAACTCACTCGAGTCCTCGGAGTCCTGGACTCTTAGGACTCTTCTCATCATCCTGCGAGTCCGTCACGTGATACTTTCGGAACTACTATTCCCCGCTGCCCCTCCAGGTACCAGGGCCGGTCTCATGCGACCTCCCTCCTTCCTGTCCTGTAGTTGGCCAGCCTTCTTGTTCCGTCGTAACACTACTATAGCTAGGCACTATTTACAAATCCCTGCTACTAGTGCTCCTATAGAGAGCTTTTTTAGTATAGGTAGCCTTATTATTTCAAAGATTAGAAATAGGCTTTCTAAAGACATTTTTAGAGTAATAGCTTGTTTAAAGAGTTGGGATTTTATAAAGGAAGAAGAAGAGGATCTAGAAGAGGAATTTATAGCTAAATTAATACTTTAAGAAGTATTTAGATAGATTAATATATATTTGGTTTCCTTTTCTACTATACTAGATAATTACTTAGGCCACGTGATTCTAACATCATGTGATAATCATGAATATTCATGATTATCAAAAACTCATAACGTGGTTTATCAGTACGTCGGACATATCAGTACCTCGGACACTTTTCATTGGCATTCTACTTTGAATATCAATAAATCAACCATAACATATTAAATTAACTATAACTAAGCGGAATCAGATGAACTAGACATATCTATAGCTTCTTGACAAGTTCGCGCATTATGACCAGCTTTTCCACAGATCCCACAGCATCGCCTAGACGGTTGCCCCTCCTTGCGACTACCCCCAACCGCACGTACGTCACGTCGTACCTGCTCATCCACATCCTTCTGTGCGATAATAGCCTGTGCATCCTCTACTATAAGTGCACCTCCTTCACGGACACGAGCCTTTTTAGCCCTGCGGCGTTTGCTAAGGGCTTCGTTTGCTGCTCGAAGGGTACGTACCTCAGCAGACAGAAGGGTGTTCTCATGTGCTAGTCGCTCCGTACCCTTTGCCAATGCAATAACTGTCCCGAAGAGTGGAGTGTAACGCTGACTTCTAAACGATAGAAGACACAGAGGTTCTCTTGCGTAAAGGTTTACTTATCAGAGGAGGCAGGGGATCAGACACAAAGGCTTCAAGTAACACGTTACTAGTATATAACAAATACTGTATTGAGTTGAGCACGAAGCTCCTATCTAAGGAAATACTATCTACTTATATAGTGGCGTCGTGCCTATTGGACTCTTGGGAACTCACTCGAGTCCTCGGAGTCCTGGACTCTTAGGATTCTTCTCATCATCCTGCGAGTCTGTCAAGTGCCTAGTGGACTCCTGGGAACTCACTCGAGTCCTCGGAGTCCTCGGAGTCCTGGACTCTTAGGACTCTTCTCATCATCCTGCGAGTCCGTCACGTGATACTTTCGGAACTACTATTCCCCGCTGCCCCTCCAGGTACCAGGGCCGGTCTCATGCGACCTCCCTCCTTCCTGTCCTGTAGTTGGCCAGCCTTCTTGTTCCGTCGTAACATGGAGTTGGCGAGCTTCCTTGGTGACGGGCAATTCGATTTCGAATGAGGGTTGTTTGTGAAAGAGCTTCAGTTGGGTTGGAAGGGGTCTGGGAGACCCAAGGGTTGGTGTTGGCAGTAGAGGGTCTAGAGGGAGTTGGAGTCCGTAACCTCACGTCAAGCTTTGAAAGCACTGCTTGCGGGTCAAAAGGCACTAAGCCAGCTCCGCGGAACCCGGACTGGGCGTTTTGGGCTGTCATGGATTCCAGATATGCTGCTCTAAAGGCGAGAAAGAACTCGACCTTGGTAATGTGGTTGATATGAGCCTTAATGAAGGTCTCAATCTGCCAACCATATGCCCGCTTCAACACACTAAAGCACCCGACATCAAGTGGCTGAGTTAAATGAGACGAGTGGGGAGGTAGTCCAAGAGTTATAATGTTGTGTGCCTTGCAGTACTCTTGGAACTCGGCCGATTCATGACTCTCGTGCCCGTCTAACACCAGCATTCGATATGGACCCCTTGCACGAACAGCAGTATGTTTGTCGAAGTGTTTCAACCATTCTAGACCCGTCTCATTGTTTGTCCATCCATTGCTTGTCGGTTTAACAACCCAGTTGTGTGGAAGGCCGCCGTCTGTATACCAATTTGCAAGATGATTCTTGCCTTTAACTACCAAAAATGGAGGAATACTCCAGCCGTCACTGTTGATACAAGCAATCGCTGTAGCCCATTCCCGATTCCCTGGCTGAACTGCCTTACCTCTGCCAAGTCGATCTGCACGGGTAACAACCATTGCAGGGCAAATCACACCCATCATAAACCCAGTTTCGTCAAAGTTATAGAAGTCGCAGTCCAAAACACCATATTTTGCCCTCATATTTTCCACTAGTCGAAACCACGCGCCAATTAGTTCAGGATCTTCGCACAAGGCCCTTTGGAAGTCGTAAACGTGATTAAAACGCGTCTTTAATTCTGGACGTCGTTGTACAAATCGGTGGGCCCAGAGCTTCCCGACGCGCCTCCCTCCACGCGATTCGAGTATAAAATTTGCCATATCTTCTACACCAGCAAGCCGGGGTGCAAATCCTCTTGAATCCATATCAAGTATATTCCGAATAACCACCTCCTCTTCTAGTATAGTTAATTTCATCATTGCAGGCCGGCGTTCGTAGACAGTAGTTCGGCCGTTCATTCTGTCGCAGAGTGTAGAATGAGGTACTTCATAGAGCTTAGCAGCCTTCCGACGACTTAGATTTTTTGATGTTCAGATAGCCTCGATAGCTAGAATGATTTTTGCTTCTTGGGTAATCACTGACATAATAAAAGGTGGAAAAAATGCGTTGTGAAGTTAGAGGGTAGGAAATTCGGGAAAAGTGTCCGAGGTACTGATATGTCCGACGTACTGATAAACCACGTTAATCATAATCATGCTTATGTAATATTTGACTAACGTATTTCCCAATCGAACCGTGCACCCGGTCGAACCGTGCAAAATAACCACCAAAACGCGTCTTCCTTCCATACAACTAATATGTCTCCAACACAAGCTTATTCTTCTAATCAAGAAGGTAGGATTCTTTTAGCTATACAAGCAATTAAATTATATCAATTTCGAAGCATACGAGCTGCTGCAATAGCATATGATATACCTCCTCAAACCCTTCGTGATAGGATAAAAGGAACAGCTCCCCGATGCAACACACCCTCAAATACTCAAAGGCTTACTTCTCAAGAAGAGGAAGCTATCGTACGATACATTCTCGACCTTGATTCACGTGGATTCCCACCTCGGCCAGCTGCTGTACAAGAAATGGCGGACCTACTCCTCGCTGAACGCGACGCGTCACCTGTAGGTAAGAATTGGACCTCGAACTTTATCACGTGTCGTACGGAGATTAAAACGAAGTTCGGACGAAAATACGACTATAAAAGAGCTCTTTGTGAAGATCTAGTGATTATCAGAGACTGGTTTAAGCTCATACGAAACACGGTCGCAAAGTACGGAATTCAAGAGGAGGATATATACAACTTTGATGAAGCTGGGTTCTTAATGGGAATGATTGCTACTGCTAAAGTAGTCACTAGCTCAGAGTCAAGGAATCGTCCGAAAGCTACACAGCCAGGAAATTGAGAATGGGTGTCAATTATACAAGGAATCAACTCGTACGGGTGGTCAATTCCTCCATTAATTATTTTCAAAGGAGCAACCCACCTCTCGTCATGGTATAACGACGACGAGGTACAACTCCCACGCGATTGGGTGATTACATTAAGTGAAAACGGGTGGACTACAAATGCAATTGGTTTTGAGTGGATTCAGCATTTTGAGAAACATACTCAGAGTCGTACGAAAGGAGTATATCGTCTCCTAATTCTTGATGGCCACCTTGAGTTCCTCTCTGCCTTTAAAGAAGCGTATAAAGCTGCATTTACAGAGCAGAATATTAAGAGTGGCTTTTGAGCAACAGGTAATTATAATAATCTTTATAGTAAATACTACTAACTTAGTTATAGGGTTAGTTCCGTACGATCCAAATACTGTCCTTTCGCACCTTGATCTCCGACTAAAAACACCAACCCCACCACCTGTTGAAAAGGAGACTTGGACCTCAAAGACACCCCAGAATGCGACTGAAGTTGAATTCCAAACAACACACCTTAAGAATCGAATCGTACGACATCAGAATAGCTCTCCAAGTTCAATAAATGAGGCATTTGACCAGCTTGCTAAAGGAGCTCAAATAATGGCCCATTCATTTACACTCCTTAAAGCTGAAGTCAAGGCGCTACAGCAGGCGAATGCGCTCAAAAAGCGAAGGGCAAACAAGCGAAGGAAGCGTATTCAATTAGGTGGAAGCTTGACAATTGAGGAAGGTGATGAGCTCGTACGGAGTACTCAAACTCAGGAGGAGGAGGGTGGTGATGCCACACAGGGTCAGCGCAGGAAAGGGAAACAACGACGATGTGGCATATGTAATCAAGTTGGACATAATGCTCGTACGTGCAAAGAGGTATTAGATTCAATTACTGTAGATAGCTAGAGTGTTTTAAAGGGTTGTTGTTATAATATACCTACGAAGTTGTATTTTGGTGGTTATTTTGCACGGTTCGACCGGGTGCACGGTTCGATTGGGAAATACGTTATTCGAATAGTCATGATTATTATGATTATTTGTGCTAACCCTGATTAGGGTTAGATACAAGAGGCTAATAGTAATGGCGATGATGCTAACGATGAGGCATATGAATTGAGGCATATGAATAGGGGCATACAAATAGGGGTTGGGTTAGGTTAGGTTATTACTATTACTAAAGGCTTCATTTTTATATACTCCATTTAGCCTCATATATCCGGATATATACCTACTCTTACCTGTAAGAAATTAGCCGGGTATATACCCTACCCGTGGGAATCACGGATACTACCTAGATACATATCCGCCAAACACTAATACCACTGTAAATGTCAACGCTAGCCTAAATGTTATCGGAATATATGGTACTCACGATAATTCGACTGCCTAACGCGCTGGCTTGATATTGTGTTTGAAATTAGTCTATACTATCGACGAGCTGCCTGCCAAACCCCAAGTCTCTGATGGTTGAATCCCGTCCATTCCTTATCCGCGTAGCTGCCACCACTAGCGCCGACCTTGGCGTGGAACGACTTCCCTTCGTTGCTCAACTTCGTCAATACCTCCTCTGCATACTTGAACCACACCTTGGCGGCATCTACATCTGCTAGCGAGGCTTCGTTTGCCTCAAATGCCGACCGTAACGTCCACAGTCCAAACATGGAAAAGTCGAACGCAGGCGTGGACGGAGACAGGGACGTTAGACGTGCTAGGAAACCATTTATGTTTTGCCATTGGCTGGCAGAGAAATCGTCGGCAGAGCCTGTGCCAGGAGCTGTGTCATGTCAGCAAACGAACAACATCGAGCCACTAGCAATCATACCTCTATTCCACGCATCTCTCACGGAAGCACCAAAGAGAGGCAGGTCGCACACCTTCACCTTCTCTCCCCAGACTGTAACCTCACTCGCACCATTCGCAAAGATCTGCTGCTGCACGGCACGCAGGACAGCGACCAAAGGCTCCTGAGACTGGTGGTCGGTATCCGCGGCCACATCAATGATGCTACCCCAGACGGGCCTGAGACGGCCTTCAATGTCTGACTCTGGAGACCCCGTGGAGAGTTTCTCCTCCGCCGGGGCTATGAGAGCACGTGCGGCCGATGAGGGGTCGGTCTTTGCCGCGATGGAGGCTGTTAGGGAGTGGCGTTCCTGAGAAGTCATCTTGGCTGTGCTAGTGTATGTTGCGTGAAACGTGAATAAGTTGAACCGGGGAGGAAATGCAGCATAAACTCTATATTTACTTTTTGAGAGAGAAACGACGAGGGCTGTCGCCACGTGTGGTCGGATGTTTCCCCGAAGCATGCTTCGTCATCGAGCCTATGAAGATTGTCAACAGGAGCATGCCGTGGGGGGATGTTCATGCGCTTGTATATGTCGACAACATGTGAGCCAGCACACCAGAGTTGTTGGTTGTTGTCAATTTCCTCTTTCGCCTAACGTCCGGCAGATCATTAATGCCAAGTGTATGGATAAAATCGACCAGCTGCCGCTCTCCGCCAACCCTATTCGCACGACTTTGTTATCGCAAAACTTTAGTGGCGTTGCTGCCCGTATCTTGATCCTATCGCGGGGGGAGATCCGCCGATCGCGCATGGATGCAAGACACAACTTCTGCATTGGGGTATAGTGACAGGATTTAAGTTAAGGTGCATTGCGGCATTCTAGATTAGTGGCGGCATCACTACCTCGTCTGTACCTGTCACGCTGCTTCTATCGCGGCTTCTTCGTCGTATAGCACCGGATAGTTAGTACAGCAGGCCGTGGGAGGAGTATATGAAGCTGGTAGGATCCCCTTCTCATCGTCATCCACCAACAATCCCTCAGTTCTATCCTCAATCTATCAGCATGTTCGGCCTCAAGTCCCTCCTCAGCGTCGCCCTCGTCTCGGCTGTCGCTGCCCTCCCCACCCTCGAGGTGCGCGCTGCCACCACCTGCGGCTCCACCTCCTACACTGCTTCCCAGGTCAGCGCTGCTGCCGCTGCCGCCTGCAACTACGTGAAGACCGGCACGACTGCTGGAAGCTCTACCTACCCCCACCAGTACAACAACTACGAGGGCTTCAACTTCGCTGTTGCCGGTCCTTGGCAGGAGTTCCCCATCCTCAAAAGCGGTGTCTACACTGGAGGTGGGAATTCATTGCATACTCTATGATTGTGATACTAATTCTATAAAGGGAGCCCTGGGGCCGACCGTGTTGTCATCAATAAGTCTTGCGGACTTGCCGGTGCCATCACCCACACTGGCGCTAGCGGAAACAACTTTGTCGGTTGCTCCGGAACGAACTAGAGGATGCATATTGGGGAAGCAGGTCTTCTTGTACGGCTGTGTTCAAGTATATAAAAACATATCTTCCAAAATGAAGATATTCTAAATCTGGATTCCGTGATTCCCCGGTGACCGGCCATCACCCCACACTCTATGAACGAACTGAAGGCCCTCATGGCATTTGGCCCCTCCCATGATCGCATAGCCCGACGCCAATGGCAATCCATCGGACGAACTGCCATCTGGTGCCTCTAGAAAGCGTACCCCTCACACTCCTTTGAGAAACCGGTATACCTCTGGAACGAAGACCAAGTCAGCCAATCCTATAAATACATGATGCTTCACCGAATATTATCAGAACGAGTGCTTAGCACAAAAGAATTATACCAAAACGCTACATACAACGAAGCTATCTTCACCTAGGTTTGGAATGAGAACCCAAGAGACATCCGTATCCTCAAAGGCCCACGATGTCTCCAACACCTCTTACCTCCACAACCTGACGACTACGATATACCCCTAATTACCTCTACCTCAGACCCTCACGCACCCACTCAAACTCCGACTGAGGGACAATGGGACGCCCCGATATCACCAGTGTTGCCAGTAGTATATTGGTTCTTGGCAGTATATTGCGATATATATCGCAATACGAGTCTTGGGCAATATAAACAATATGCTTGGCAATATGATATGGCCTTCCTTCATTCCTTGGCAATATGATATGCCCCACATTATATTGCCAATATAAACAATATAAACAATATCGCTTATTATAATACACGTGATGATAATGATGTTAAATATAGCTATGAAGCTAGTAGATAAGTGCCGTTGAAAACTCTGCACGCGTAGTACTATTACTATTATATAGTAGTACTATGGCTTCAACAAATGCAGATTCTAGTAATTTATCTTCTCTTAATACTAGCAGCTTCCAAGACAATGCCGATGTGTTCCAGTTACAGTCCTCACAACTAGATCTTGATAGTACTATAGTACCTTCAATTTCATCAACAACCCAACGAGTACGAACCTCATGGGTTTGGCAACACAGTAAAAGCCCTTCATTAATAGAGGATGCTAACAAGTGCATTTGGCAATGCTTATATTGTACTAAACAATACAAAGGGTCGGGTGGTACAGCTGCTCCAGCAAAGCACTTGACAGATTTACACCAAGTGACAGATACTTCAAAGGAGTTACGAGTTAAGAACATGCAGATGAGTATTTCAAGCGCCTTCTCAAGTGGAATAAGTAACCCATATAAACGGCGACGAGATACCGAATTTGATGCTCCAACTTTTGAGCAGCTACTTGTCCGACTTATTGCTAGATGCTCATTATCATTCACAATTGTCCAACGCCCTGAATTCCGAGACTTAATACATTTCTTAAATGTTAATAGTGAAGAGTCTTTACCTCGAAGCCATAGTACTATACGAGAATGGGTAGTTCGAAGATACAAGCAAGAGAGGGTCAAGATTCAGCAAGCTTTGCAGTCATCTCAGTCGAAGATCCATCTTACCGTTGACTTATGGACATCTCCAAACACAAAGGCATTAATGGGTCTAATTGCACACTACATTGGGGAAAATGAAGGGCTTCGACAGTCGGTACTATCGCTACGAGAGCTAGAAGGACAGCATACAGGTGACAATCAAGCCCAATTAATATATACTGTACTTGAAGAGTATGGTATATTATCAAAAGTTGGGTATTTCATGATGGACAATGCATCAAATAATGATACTATGATGATAAGCCTTTCAAATCGTTAGTCCTATTACAAAAAATGATAGTACTATAAAATTCTAACTTCTACTATATAGTACTATCACTCCAAGGTGTTAAATATGATGCTCAACACTACCGACTTCGTTGCAATGGCCATATCATCAACCTAGCAGCACAAGCATTCTTATTTCCATACGGGGATGCTCTTCTGTGGATAACAACTCTCAAGAAGCATCACAAGTACAGGTTGAAACATGGAGGAATGCAGGCCCGCTAGGGAAGCTACATAATATTGTAGTGTATATTCAATGTTCTCCCCAACGCCAGGCAACGTTTGAGAAGTATAGTGATGGTAAAAGGCTTGCTCGGGATAACAAACTCGATGGAACTCATGGTACTTGATGCTTCATAATGCTCTTGATGACAATATGAAGAAAGCTATCAATGGATACTGTCACAAGGAGTACTACGACCTAAGCCAAGACGAATTGACAGAGAGTGATTGGATAATACTATCACACATCCATGACTGCCTCCAGTTCTTTCATGAAGCGACGTTAGCTACAGAAGGCTGAGAAGCTACACTAGAACGGGTATTATTATCTATGGAATTCCTTCTCGAGCAATTAGAGAAAGGCAAACAACAATTTCAAGACGATATAATACTTAGCCCATGTTTCAACTCAGCTTGGAAGGTTATAGACAAGTATTATGCACTAACTGAGCGGTATGTAATAGTACTATCAATAGTACTATCTATAGTACTATCAATAGTCTATAGTACTAACACTTTATAGGTCTTCTGCATATATTGCTGCTGGAATACTCATTCCAAGTCAAAAATGGAAGTATTGCGAAGAGAATTGGCCTATTAACTGGGTAACACCAGCAAAGATAGCTGTTCAATCACTATGGGATGAGCATTACAAGCCAACAATTGAACCATCAATTATAGCTACAATTCAACCTCAAAATAAGAAGAGCGCATTTGAGGAGTGGGCTACACAAAAACGCCGTCAACCAGCTATTCAAGATGAGTATTTGAAATACTGCCAAGCTCCAGTTACCCCTGAATGTGATGCTCAGGGTTGGTGGATGGAAGGCGCTCAGCGGATAGCATATCCAAACCTCCAAAAGATGGCTCTTGATATCTTATCAATACCTGCAATGAGTGCTGAGCCTGAACGTTTATTCTCAGGGGCAAAGATCACAATTACAGATCAAAGGAACCAACTAGGGGTTGATACTATTGAGTATTTAGAGTGTTAAAGTCATGGCTAAATCTTTCGACTAATTCTTGGATTGATGATGATGAGTAGTACTATTACTATTTCATTCTATATTAATGCTATTAGTTTCTAAATTATTATATATAGTATACTACAGCATAATACCTTACTGTCTACAGTATTATGGCGCAGACAGGCATCACAGTCAATTTGCCAGGTCAAGTGATGCTAACTACACGAACTGCACGAACTGCACCAACTACACAAGCGTCACTCTAGGTTTGTGACATTTAATAGTACTATAGTACTATAAACTTCTTCTATGTAACAACCTCTGATCCTCCTCTACCTCCTCTACACTCTGACAAGTGTAATGGTGGGTGCACCAGATGTGAGAATCTAGCCACCCAAGGAAGGGATGATTTTACTAAGACAACACACTGTCTTAGGAAACAGAGCCAAAGGGTTGTAGCTTAGACTATTCCACAATGCAGCAATCAGGTGTGTGATGTAGTGAAGTGGTTCAGACAAGTTGCAACAAATGTTGAGTCTGGGAACTCAGGGGTAAGTCAGAGGTTAACACCTCACTGACTTTTCAGAAACAAGGAGTAACAAGATGAATGCTTGGAAGCTTGGAAAAGACGTGGAAGTATGTGATAGTCGATTTACTGTATTGTCTGCTTGCCCTTTCTTAAGGAAAGGGCAATCCTATTTATGCTAAAGCAGTGTAGTTCTCTCATTTTCCAAGACTTTCCATGACTTACCAGGCTTGGTAACTGTAGTCGACGTAAGAGAATCCCATAGAACCATCTCTTAGGTTCGTAGCCTATAGGAAGTAAAAGGAGGTCCAAGGTCAGAGTACCCCTATAGACAAATTATGTCATAGACAAATTATGTCATAGACAAATTATGTCATAACTTAACCAATCTTGTGGGTAACTAAAGAGCGATGACATGTAATGAATCATAGAGGTTCGTAGGAGCTTTTAGAGCTATCGTTCATGCTCCTAGGCCTCTAGCTGGTAGAGATATGTCATGTGGTAGTATGAGTGATGTCATGTAATGAATCATAGAGGGTTGTAGAGATATGCTATGTGGTAATATCGGCCCAGTAACTAAGGAGCGATGACGTGTAATGAATCATAGATGGTTGTAGCAATCGTTGAGTAGTATTGCTCTTGTTGTTGGTGTGATAAGCCAAAATATGTATAGTGACTTGTAGGTTTGAGGAGGAGATTTCCAAGTTTGCTCTTGAGTTTGATAGCAAACTGAGTGCAACGAATGTCAGTATGACAACAAGCACGAGGAGCCGACCTCTGAGGAATGATGAATAAATCATCATCCCCATTAGGAAGGATGGGTTTGAGGAAGTCAGGAACCCCAACATGGGACTCTCTCTCATAACTCCAAAGGGCCTCAGCCAAGGCATCTAATGAGCCAGCGTCAGTGCCAAGAATATCACGCCTAATCTGAAGGATTAGGGCAATCTCCCGAGCAAAGAGGCGGCGACGCCCAGCCTGAAGCCACTCATCCTCAGCCTCACGGTAAGTGAGACCCAAAACTGCCTGTCTCTCACCACTAGCTCCAACCATCTCTACCTCCTTCTCCCCCCAATCCCCCTCATCCCCCTCATCTCCCTCATTTCCCCCATCTTTCGCTTCTAAACTCGCTGGGCCCCATGCTGGTGAGGCAGCACCAACAGGGCAGGGCGCAGAGACAACAAGGCGGGGCGCAGAGACGACGAGGCGGGGCGCAGAGATGACAAGACGGGGTGCAGCAGGAGGAGGACGACCAGCAGCGACACCAGAACCAGCAGCGCCAAGGAAAGAGCACGACCCTGTACCCGTAAAGTGGGCACAGTTGGTGCAGTGGCCATCAGAGTGGGCAGTAGTGTTTATAGCGCAGCAAGCAAACTGTGCCTTTCATGCAGCGGGAGCAAGCAGCAAGGGCGACAACAGCGTGAGAATGAGCCATTTCAGCTAAAGCTTGACTCTTTCTAGAGCCTTTGAATTGTTGAAAGTCGGCTAGAGAAATATCAGGAGGGCCTTCTAGTATGCGTGGTTGTGCCATTACAGTAGGAAACTTTGATGGCGGTGCCATATTTGCCTATTTTCAAGTTAGTATATAACATAAAATAGTAATTAATAGTATTATAGATAGTACTATTGTCGTACTTACTGATCTTGCATATAGTAACGATGTAGAAGAAAGAAGAAAGAAGAAAGGAAGGGCAAAATAGTGAGGTTATAGCTTAACATCATAACAGGCGTTGATAGTACTACAATAAGTAGTACTATCAAAACAATAGTACTATAATAAGTAGTACTATCAAAGCAATAGGGGTAACTTAAACACGTGATATTCTACACTATTGTTGTCACGTGATGTCCATATTGTTTATATTGTTTATATTGTTTAACGTGGTTGTACACCGAGTCGTGAATGTCACCGAGTCGTGAAACTTTTTTATACCCACCACTGTAAGGTATAATTAAACAACCACAACATGTATTAAAACTAAAACTATTCAGAATCTGATGAGCTAAGTACTTCTATGACCTCCTGACAAGTTCGTGCATTATGGCCAGCCCCCCCGCAAGTGCCACAATGTCGTACACCTGGTTGCCCCTCATTCCTACCAACCCCTCCAGAGCGCTTCTCGCGATTTATTTGCTCCATAACTGCCCTTTGGGACAAATCATCATGTGCATCCCCTACAGAAAGTGCACACCCTTGATGGACACGAGACTTTTTAGCCCTCTGGCGTTTGCTAAGAGCTTCGTTTGCTGCTCGAAGGGTGCGGACTTCAGCTGACAATAAAGTCATTTCATGTGCCAAAATCTCTGTCCCTTTAGCTAATGCAGTAACAGTAGCAAAAATGGGGGTTGGCGAGCTTCCTTGGTGCCGTGCAATGCGATTTTTAACTAGAGTAGTCTGTGAGAGAGCATCTATTGGGTTGCGAGGCGTTTGAGAAACCCAAGGATCAGCGTCTATAGAGGGGGGTCCTGTAGGTGTAGGAGTCCGCAACTTGACGTCTAGCTTTGAAATGATTACTTGCAGATCAAAGGGCACTAAACCAGCTCCGCGAAATCCAGCTTTGGCGTTTTGAGTTGTTATTGACTGGTTATAAGCTGCGTGGAAAGCTATAAAAAACTCAACCTTTGTAATATGGTTTATATGAGCCTTAATAAAGGTCTCAATTTGACGCCCATACATGCGTTTAAGAACACTAAAGCACCCAACATCAAGTGGCTGAGTTAGGTGAGATGAGTGAGGAGGTAGACAGAGAGTTATGATGTTGTTTGCTTTGCAATATTCCTGAAACGCAGCTGATTCATGACTTTCATGCCCGTCTAAAACCAACATCCGATATGGTCCTTTTGCACGACTGCAAGTATGTTTATCGAAATGATGAAGCCATTCTAGACCTGTCTCGTTGTTGGTCCATCCATTGCTTGTTGGTTTAATTACCCAATTGTGAGGAAGGCCGCCTTCAGTATACCAACTTGAAAGGTGACATTTCCCTTGAACTACTAAAAACGGAGGGATACTCCCGCCTTCAGCATTCACACAAACAATTGCTGTAGCCCATTCCCGATTGCCAGGCTGAACTGCCTTGCCTCTGCCACATCGATCGGCGCGCGTAACAACTAAAGCTGAGCTAATAACGCCCATCATGAAGCCCGTCTCGTCAAAGTTGTAGAAATCGCAGTCTTGGATGCCGTACTTTGCTCTCATGTTCTGCACAAGTTGAAACCACGCTCCAATAAGCTCAGGATCTTCGCACAAGGCTCTTTGAAAGTCATAAACGCGATTAAAACGCGTCTTTAACTCGGGGCGGCGTTGTATAAATCGATATGCCCACCGCGTCCCAACGTGCTTTCCCCCACGCAATTCAAGGATATAATTTGCCATATCCTCCACACTAGCAGGCCGAGGTGCAAATCCTCTTGCATCCATATCCAATATATTTCGAATAATCACTTCCTCTTCTAGCTCAGTCAATTTATGACTATTGGCTTTGGTTTCGCGTCGAGAAGGTCGGCCGGCCATTCTATCAGTAAGCGTAGAATAAGGCACTTTATATAGTATTGATGCAGACCTGCGATTAAGCGATTTACATGTTTGAAGAGCCTCAATAGCTAGAATGATTCGCGCTTCTTGGGTTTGGATTTCCATTGGTAGTTGTGGAGGAAACGCGTGTTGAAGTTCGTAGGTAGCTAAGTAGGGAAAAGTTCACGACTCGGTGACATTCACGACTCGGTGTACAACCACGTTATATTGTTTATATTATACTGTATTGCCAAGCTTTATTAGCGCCATATTGTGACAATACAATATGGCCTTTGGCCGTATTGTGGCAATACAATATGGGAATTTCCTAGCAATATACTGCCAAGCCGCACTATTGGCAACACTGGATATCACCGAGTCCTACAGTATCCATATGACTGAAATAAAAAGGGAGAAGACGGGCCTCTCACTTTACCCATAACGATGAGAGACCCCCAACCCCGAATCACTCAAAAAAGGGGAGAGCGATGGAATGACGGTTCAACTCCCTTACGAAGCTCCCGGTGGCAACATAACTCTCCTCCCCACCACCTAGGCAGGACACAAAAACAACAATAATGCTTTAAGTTGAGACGTTGAAGTGGAAAAGAAACATGGGGCATTCACACCCTGAGCGGTGTCGAAGGAACCTCCCGGGCAACAACTTCTTCAGCAACGTCGCTAATAGCATGAGGGTGATTCTCGAAAATAATGCCATTTCCGATGTTAAATGCACTTTGAACCTCCCCCACATGCTTGAGTAGCCCTATTATCGTTCTAACTGTATTCTCCACACTAGCATGCAGAAAATACTCGAGGGTTTTCTCATTTGCTATTGGGTGTAGTGACATCCTGTTTCCCAGGCCAGCAAGGACACTTCGACTCTCAAAAGCGCGGCTATGAGTAGGGAACGTGCTGTTGAGTTGACCAAAGACAAACTTTTGTTGGTCTAGGAAGTCTGTCCATGGCTTCAGATTCGTTGGACACCATTTACCACGTGGATTGGTGATAAGGGCCTTTTGACGTCAGTTGTGGATTTGTTTCGACTATAAATATGGAGAAGACGGAGTAATGGCAAGCGGTAATATATTCATCAAGTGTCGTGGGTCGTGTTTGTTCTTTTACTTCGTCGGCAAGTTGTTTTTCTGCGTCGGCGCGCTGGTTTGCTTCGTCGGCACGTTAGTTGGCACGTTGTTTTCTTCGTCGGCACGTTGTCCAGCTAGTCGTAGGAGCCTTTCGAGCTCTTCTACAGTTCTCTGCTGCGCCATAGGGTCTTGGTTTGGTTTGGTTTGGTTTAGTGAAGGGCGTGGATGAAGAAGTAAATCTTGAGAAGTAAGAAGGTAGTAGACGATCGAACACTACACACAAATTGTAAAAGAGCCTTTGGCTGGACAGGGTAGTGGGAAGTCACGTTACGGATACGTACATAGAAGACTCTGTATTGATTTACGAAGACTGAACGCTGACCGACCCTCCTCTAGAGGTCCGCGTTCCTACTATATACGCCTACCTCACAAGAACACATATTTTGATTCTCTTAGGGTTACTGTTTTATCTTCATGTTACGACACACGAACGAACGAACGAACGGACGGGATTTTGATTGCTTGGTTGATAGGTACGGTGCGATTACTTCGAAAGGAAAGGAAAGGTTTAAGCAGAATTAGAACAGAACGAGTTGAGTCACGTGCCAATCCCTGATCGTTCGCGCAAGTACGTTGACCTACCTGGCACATGATCCAAATAGAGTACTACCAAAAGATAGTATGTGGAACGTCCAGGTTGAGCTCAAAGATGATGCCATTCCCAGCTTCCAAATCCTAATTCTCAATATAAGTTTGGGAACCAATTTTCGGAGGCGGGCTAGTAATTGGTCATTGGCAATTGAGTGCCAAAAGCTGGTTACGGCTGCACAGATTTCTGTTCAGCTATGGCCAGCTTTGAATTACTGTATAACTTATAGTTAGTGTATAGATTAGTAATATAATTAATTCAACGTCAATCGAGTCTACCATCAGGGCCTTCTACGATCCCGAGCTGACACTTTCCGCTGTCTTCTGGCCCGGTTTCATCACCCAGGAGAAGACCTTAGGTGGGGGCGTGAAGTTTATGTTCTTAATTGACGTCTGGGCGCTCGAATGTCTGGTCTTGCCAGGCCGTTTTGGGACCTAAATCGAGTTGGTCGGTCTAATGCCGATATTCCGAAAGCTGCGGCGCTCATTGTAGTGAGCACCGTCATTCTCGGGCCAGGTGCTGCCCTATGTGCGGAGAGAAGAATTGAGCAAAGAAGATAGCATGATAGAGACGAGATGGCGATGACTAGGCGAAAGAGCTCATGAGGGACATGGTGGTTTTTAAATACGTGTAATTAAATGGAGAAAAGTTTTCGAGAACGATTTTAAAAAGTGCACAACGTGCTATCAGGATTGGAAATTTTGTCTACTGGTCTTTTTCTGTGCTCCCCAAAAATCCCTTCCTGCACCCTCTTAAACCAGCACCCCCACCAGCTCCTAATACAGCCTGGCTTTTACCCGCTCTCTTACAATCTACCCCCTGCCCCCTCCGCTCACCAACCCCTATCCCATCCTCCCATCCATCCCCCCCAGCCCTCTATCCGCGCCTATTAACCGACTGCGTAGACCCCTCCTGCACAGCCTTCAGAATCAACTCCTTCGCGATCTGCACCCCCTCCTCACTCCCACAAATCTCAATCGCCCCCCTCCCCTCCCCGCTCTTCGGAACATCAATAGTGCACCCGGACTGCTTCCTAATAGCATTGACCTTCTGTCCGCCCTGGCCAATCACATAGCGGTACAGCCTTGGGTCTGGAAGCCCCAGGTAGCCAGTCGTAGTAGTCGCCTGTGCCTGCTCGATCGCTGCAGCAACAGCAGCCTTGGCCTTGGCAACCGCCTCTGCGTCTCCGCGCAGAACCCACGGGATCTCGCCCTCGATCTCAACAGGCGTGCAAACGACGGTGTGGAAAGTGTGCGAGTCCTCGCCCTCCTCCTGCGCGTCGGTGATCAGCGGCAGCGGTGCGTCGTTAGCGGCCTTCTTGGTAGATGGTTTGGCGGGGAGCTTCTGCCCAGCATGGTCGACAGTGACGTCGTGCTCGCGCTTGAGGACATGGAAGAGCTGGCCCCCGTTAGCGGCAGCGTGGTGGTATTGCCTTGGAACCATGATAGTCTCGCCCTCGTCCTGCTTCGTCAGCTCGGCGATGTGTTCAGCAGCGACAGCCACATCGGCGGGGAGACCAGAGATCTTGATTCCAGTCTTGCCGGAGTCGCGTGCGGGGATGTCGAGAACGACGCGGAATTGCGATTCGAGTGCCTTCTTGGCGTCGCCGCCGCGGCCGATAAGAGTGCGGTGCTGGGCGGTGGGGACGTCGATGGCGGTGGTGGTTTGCGCTTCACGGGTGGCAACGACGTCGAGCATGGCGGCGATGATCTTGTCGACGACGGCTTTGTTGCCTTCGACCTTGATCTTGTTACCGTCCTCCTCGGCGCGTGGGAACTGCACTGTGCGTGCGAGTTCGCGACGGTCGTCGGAGCCACCGGCCTTGACAATGATGTCGCGGAGGTTGGAGCCTGGGATAATCGTTAGTTATGGTTTTATACGAACAAAGGAGCAAACATACCTCCTGCACCGATCAGGGTACGGTGGTGCTTCTTCTCGATCTCAACAGTCTTAGAGACTGTGTCATCAAAGACAGCCTTCTTCTCTTCGATCAGCTTCTTAGCAGCGGCAACCTGGCTCTTAGTGCCCTTAACCTGGATCTCAACAAGACCAGTTGCGCTCTTCGCGTCGCGGGATCCGGGGACATCGATCTTTGCGCCGGTGAGCTCACGAAGCTCATCCAGTGCCTTTCCGCCTTGGCCAATGAGCGATGGAACCTGGCTCTGTTGCACGTTGACGGTGGCAGAGAACGAGTTATCCTTCAGGTACTGGAGGAGCGAGAGGATCTCGTCGCGGGCCTCACCAGCACCCTTGGATGGACCCCTGACGATAACCTCATCCTCCGGCTGCTGGCGACGTCCCGCTCTTGGCGCGGTAGCCTCGCTGGCGGCAGTCTCAGACTGGTCATCCCTGGCAGGGCGAGCGGATTTCGGGAAGTGGATCTGAACCTTGTACCTGGTCTGGAGCTTGTTGATCTGGTTACCCTGGGCTCCGATGAGCTCCCTGTGGTACTTCGGCTCGACCTTCAGGATGTGGGTAGACTCATCCGCCCATTGCTTGCCGAGCTTCTCGATGTGCGACTTGGCGGCCTCGGCCTTGGCCTTGGGGCCCTTAAGCACGACCTTCCCGTCATCAACCTGGATCTCGACGTCGAACTTGTCGCGCAGCTCGCGGATGTTGCTGCCGCCCTTGCCGATGAGCTGGTTGGCATACTTCTGTGGGAAGTCAAAGCCCATGGTGAAGCCGCGCTCCTTCTCGTCCGAGATCTCTTGGACGACGAAGTCATTGATCTTGGCCACGAGGTCGTCAACTGACGAAGCTGGTCCACGGAGGTTGACGATGCTGCCGGTTGCGTTGACACGAACGGGGATTTGGTCCGATGGGCGAGCCGCTTGCTCCTTCTTGATGAATTTCTTTAGTCCATCGTGGAACTTGAATGGCACGTCGACAGACCCGGTCTTAATTTCCTCTTGTCCACTGACGATGTTCAAGATGTAGTCCCTGGCCTCCTGGAGGCTCTGCTGGAAGGCCTGGATCTCAGCAGGTGAAGGCTGGGTACGGGGAACCTGGTACTCCTGGTCTGTTCCTGACGGGCCCTCAAAAACGAGTAGGACGGGGGAGGTAGAGTCTCTATCATCCGGGATAACAGTGTAAACACCGAACTCCTCCTGAACCTTGGGTACGACCTCGGAACGCAAGTGCTGGTGGAAAAATGGGTCTACAGGTACGTTCGCCATACGCGATGGAGGGTGGCCGTTCACGATGCTGGTGATCTCAGACTGTGCGCGGATAGTGTTCTTTCCGTCACGGGAGTACAGCTCCCAAGGAGCCACACCATCCCGGAGAAGTTGGGTCACGATGTGGGCATCGTGCTGCCTCTCGAGGCGCTCGATCTCCTTGCGGCGCTGCAAGTACCTGGTGACGTTTCTCGCGTGTGCGATGGCGCCTTCAGGAGCATTGCGGTGCTGTCTGGAGATATCAACATTGGTGGAGTGCATGCTAGAGGCTAAGTCCATGGCCTTATCGACACCCGATTGCAGACGGTCGGAGGGTCCAATAATGGTGATCGTCTCATCCTCGGAATCCTCAGGCAGGATAATCGCGCATCCGGTGTCAGCCAAGAATTGCTGAACAGGGATACCGCGGTCTCCAACAATGAACTGGTGACGTCCCTTGTTGATCGCGAGTTGTTCGATAGCCAATTGCCTGCGAAGCTCCTGGGCCTGCTGCTCAATAAAAGCTCTGGCCTGTTGAACAGCTAACCTGTCTCCTGCAAGTGTGATGTGGTTGTTTGGTGCCGGAGGGAGGAAGTTTAATGGCTCCCCCGCGTTAGTAGGCTGTGGTGGGGGCTGGGTCCTCCATGTGTGATGCGCTGGGATATGTGCACGGAGGTTCCTGCCTTCCTCAAGGCTGCTGATTCCAGTATTGTTTGGCCCGGCAATAAAGGGGTAAAGCTCAGCAGGGATTCCACGCATCCTGTGCGTAACAGTAGCTGTGCGCTCGCCGGCGATCTTCTCAACCTCGTGCCTGGCCATCTGGGCAGCGAGAGCATTACCCTCAATGAGGATGTCGACGGTCGCATCATCGTCATCTTCATCGACTGGCGCTGCCGATGGGTCAACCTTTGGCATCTGGATACGGGCACCCGTCTTCTCTTGCAGAGCCTTAATCACCGACCCCCCCTTGCCAATGATATGTGCTCTCGCAGAACGAGGAATTGGGACCTGAATAGACTGCTTGGCGCCAATTTGCTCAACAACGTCCTTGAGGGCTTGCCTGCAGGCATCCTGGGGTCCAACGGCGCTGAACCAAAGCAGGCCAGCATTTCCTGTGGTGACGGTCACAATCGCCTTGGACTTCCTGTTGATATCCTTTAGGACGTCGGCCAAAGGCCTCTTCATCTGGCTCCTGGGGAGGAGCTGGTTCGGCGCGAGACAGATTCGCTCCGAATGCCTTCCTGGGATAGAGAAGTTGCCAGGTCCGCTGGATGGGGTAGACGAAGAGGTTGGTGTCGCAGCGCCTGATGTTGGGGCCAATCCGCCGCCCTCGTGTGAAGTCGACCCATTGGTGCCATTGGTGCCCGTAGAGCTGACAATGGCTGGCTTCTTTCCGTTCCAGATAGATGCCACCGAGGGCGCATTCTGGGACTTGCCACCTTCTAATTCTGGGAATAACTCGTGCGAGCGTGTGTCCAGGCCAGCCTTCTCTTTCGCGGGTTGCTCAGTGGCCTTTTGCTTTCCGGCGGCCTTTGCTGATGCGGTTGGGGCCCATGTGGGAACTGCTTCTTCGGTGTCGTCGACAGCTTCTAAGACGCTGGTGGACTTCGGGGCCTCGCCGTGCTTAATGACATCCTCCTCGTCTGCGATCTCCTCTATGGTGGGGTTGTGTGCCTCATGCTTCTGCATGAGCTTCTGGGCGGCAGAGAGCTCAGTCAAGGTGCCATTGGCCACGGGTAGGTTCAAAGCGGTGGGTGCAGCCATTGCGTGTTAATGTATATAGCCTTAAAAGGTGAGATTGATGAAGATGACGACTTGGGAAGTTGGCCGCGTGCAACTGGGTGCCAGACAGTGTCTGGGCTGACAGCATTGTTAGCCAGAGATAAATAATAGAGACGCATTGGAAGGCAGCCTGCAATGGTGGTAATTGTACGTACAGAATATAGGGGTTTTGGGGGCGGATTGGGGGCTGGTCAAAGTATTTGGCCAGATGCCTTATGACAGAAGAGGACACGCAGGCGTATGAGGATGGGGAGCAGACTCGGGCGTTTCTAGGACGATTGCATGTAGGGCAGCGGGAATTGAGACGCAATAAGTATACCGAGAGAATATTATCGGGCTTCTGCACAAGCAGCAGATGGGGAAAAGGAGAGAGGCTGAAAGAATATATGAGGTGATGGAAGCGTATTCATTATAATCGTGGGGGAGTGAAGTAAATAAAGCACCACCACTTTCTGGTCCAAACGGCGCTAATGAGACAAGCGAGCCTCTGGAACCCCATTTTACCTTTGTGTGTTGATTGATTGTCTCTGTCCTTTATTGGCGAGCTTTGTCCAACGTCGCCGCCACCACTCGGGATCATTGGCGATCCGAAACATGTGCGGGCGGGCCATGGTGCTGATGCCACGAGGCGCATATTTCGTTAAAACGTCGCCGATGACTTGAAGAGCATTATCTTCGGGCCCATCGCCATGAGTGCGTTCCATGGCAGCTTCACAGCAAACCCATGGTGACCATACGGACATGCGCAACCAGGGATAGTTCCGGTCCGACCCTCTCCCACGATCGCTCACCTCCGAACGGAGAGCTGGTGGTGGTGGAATGGGAGGACGGAAGAGTACATATCGCCTCCGAGATGTGCAGATTAGGCAGTCCATCAGTCGAGAGCGGTGTTGGGTTGGTTGGCCGATGTTCCGAGCTGGAGAAGCCATTTTATTGCACATGACGCCGTTGCTAGGTTGGGAGTGTCTGGGCAGTACCATATCTCCCAGAGAGGCAAGTCGCAATTTATATCGTCCGCACTACTCCATGTAGTCTCTCTAGTAAAGGTACCCAACCTTACTATACAATTAGTGTGCAATTAGTCCTGTTTCTATGTACCTTTTCTAATGTTAGTACTCCGTACACCGTACTCCGTACTCCGTACTCCTAACAGTCCCAAGAGTCTAACAGTCCTAACAGTAAACAGTCCTAACAGTAAACAGTCCTAACAGTACTCGTATTAACATGGCAACCCACCCACTTTACCACCTTTACCTTTTACCTTTTACCACTGTACCACCAAGACTCTGCAACCTCCCAAACGCAGAAAGGAACTTATCCCAATCCCATCCCATCATACCCAACTTTACCACTATTGCCACCAATCTACCGTTTTCTATCCCACTATCCCACTATCCCACTATCCCACTATCCCACTATCCCACTATCCCACTATCCCAACTATCCCAACTATCCCACTATCCCACATCCCACTATCCCACTATCCCACTATCCTCTCTACACCACACTACGCCGCCTTCACCAAGCTCTCAGCTTTGCTCTTCCTCGGCGAGGGAGAGAGAGACAAATTTAAAATCTCGCCTCTCTTCCCCCGTGCGACCTGTCATGGAGGAGATTAAGAGCACAACCCGCAGATTGACCAAGAAACCGCCTCCACACCTCCACCACTCACTCCACCAGTCAGTCTCTCGCGCCTCCGATTCCACCTCCAACTCTCGACTTGACAACCTCTCAATCCACAGTCAACGCAGTTCCACCAGCCTACAACGCGCACCCTCTGCGCCTTTTCCGCGCACGCATAACAACAACTACTCTGGCCACGTGCGAACGATAACGTCGCCCAGTTTCACCGCGTACAGCTCTTCAAACTCGTCTCTCGATCGCCCCGACGGCGGTCCATCCCCAATCCTGGCGGGAAACGAGCTACACGCCCCCTCGGGGGCGCAGAATGTGGCGAAGCGACACTCCAACCCGCAACCGCGCGGTCTGCTCGAGACATCATCCGAAGAATTCGTCGGCGTGCCGTTTGATGGGACGGGCATACTCAATCAGATGCATGCGACGAAGGCGTCTGGATTCCAGAACTCGCTGCGGCGGCCGCCACCCCCACCTCTCTCGCATACGAGCCCGTTGCCACAGACCACGAGCCCGGCGTTAAGGCAGTCGGCGAGCTTTTCGAACGACCGCAATGAAAAAAATGTATCTGGGACGACGGAGAATCAGATAATTAGTCCGAAGAGGTACTCGGACGAGACGAATCAACCGAAGAATTTCGCTTTGCGCAAGAAGACAGGGTTTTCAGGGTTCATGAACAGCTTAGTTGGGTCCCCGCGGCGCGTTAATATCTCGGCACCAGAGAATCCAGTACACGTCACGCACGTAGGGTACGATAATGACACAGGGAAGTTTATTGTGAGTATATTCGTGACGGGCATGGTCGCGATGAGGCTAATCAATGTTGCAGGGCCTCCCAAAGGAATGGCAGCGATTACTTAACGACAGCGGTATCACGAAGAAGGAACAGGAACAAAATCCACAAGTGGCTTACGATATTGTGAACTTCTACAAGGACAATGCAGGAAAGGCAGAAGATGACACCGTATGGGAGAAGTTCGACCATGCGCGAGCGCAAGACCCGCGGACTCCTGGGACGATGTCCCCGCGGACGACATGTCCCAACCATGTGGCAGCGATGAACCCGATGATAAGCCCGCCTGCGAGTCCTCGATTCCCACCTACGGAAACAAGCTTTGAGAATCCACGGTCGCCGCCACCGGTACCCCGCTCGACGCCGATGATGGCTACTGGGCCCTTTGTTCCAAAAGATACCGCGTTAGTGCCGAGCAGGCCAGCCCCAAAACCGCCAGCCGGTGGTCCAGGCCGGGCTGCTCCTACCCCTCCAATAATCGTCAAAGATATTGGCGTTCCGCAACAAAGCACCGATCTTCCCGCGTTGGCCTACGTCCCTCCGGCTGAATCCCAGAATGGAATGGCTATGCTACCCGAAGAACACCGTTCGCGCTCAAGGTCGAATTCGAAAGCAGCCGGACCATCGCCGTACGCCCCGCCGCCACAGCAACAGCAACAGCAGCAAGCGCAGCCACAGCCATTGTCACCACAGCAGATTTATCAACAGCAAATAGTAAAGCAACAGGAGCAAGCAATGACCCAGGCGCAACAGGTCATGAGCGTGCAGCGCAGCCAGAGCAAGCGCCAACAAACCCAGCAGCCAACCCCGCCCCACTCCCAACACCAACCCGCCCGCGCCGCAGCAGACCCCGATGGCATCCCAGCCCCTAACACGCAAGCGCGGAATGTGCCAGGACCGCGCCCGCGCCAACGCGCGCGACAGAGCACGAGCCTGGATATCATTGACCGACTTAAGAGGATCTGCACAGATGCCGACCCGCGCGAGATTTACAGGAACCTGAATAAGATTGGACAGGGAGCGTCTGGCGGCGTTTATATGGCGTATGAGCGCGTGACTAACCGCTGCGTTGCGATCAAGCAGATGAACCTTGAGCAGCAGCCGAAGAAGGATCTGATTATTAATGAGATCTTAGTGATGAAGGATAGCTCGCATCCTAATATTGTGAACTTTATCGATAGTTACCTTGTTGGTGGCGATTTGTGGGTCACGATGGAGTACATGGAGGGAGGTAGCTTGACGGATGTCGTTACGTTCAATATCATGACTGAGGGCCAGATTGCGTCTGTCTGTCGCGAGACACTCAAGGGGCTGCAGCATTTGCACTCCAAGGGTGTTATCCACCGCGATATCAAATCGGACAATATCCTCCTCTCCATGGATGGCAACATCAAACTTAGTAAGTCCCAATACCCCCCTAACCCCACAATAAACCCCCTGCTAACACCCCACCAGCCGACTTCGGCTTCTGCGCCCAAATCAACGAATCCCACAACAAGCGCACCACCATGGTCGGCACCCCCTACTGGATGGCCCCCGAAGTCGTCACGCGCAAAGAGTACGGCCGCAAAGTCGACATCTGGTCACTCGGCATCATGGCCATTGAGATGATCGAGGGCGAGCCGCCGTACCTCACCGAGTCGCCGCTTCGCGCCCTCTGGCTCATCGCCACTAATGGCACACCGGCTATCAAGGATGAGGCGGCGCTGTCGGCCGCGTTTAGGGATTTCTTGTACTTTGCGCTCAAGGTTGATCCGGATAAGAGGGCGTCGGCTCATGATTTGTTGAGGGTATGTTACTCTCGTTTTTAACCCCCTTTGCCACCGGATTTTGTGCCGGTGGGATGATGAACCCAAGCTAACGATAAGCAACAGCACGACTTCATGAAACTCTGCTCCGACCTCAACCAGCTCTCCCCACTCGTCGTCTCGGCGCGCAAAGCGCGCCAGCAAGAGCGCGCCATGAAGGGGAACTAAGATACCCAGCCTAGCGTTGCGCAATCGCCTGTATCGTGTGCACCCCCTTTTCTTTTGGGGTTCTTTTATTTTTGTGACAGTTTGTTTATTTTTGGAATGCGATTGCAGTCTGTGACAGAGACTCAGCATGGCGTTTTGGGTGATTTGCCATGGGGCACAAACTTCTCAACTCGGATGTAGTGGAGAGAGGAATGAAAGAGATGTGAATGGAGATATGAATGGAGGGTGGAGACATGAGGAGGGGGTGCGGAATACCAAGAACTTTTTCGAAAAAAGTCGATGAGCGTTTTTAAAGAGGAGGTTATTTGAAAAATTTCTTTTGTTTTTGAGAGGATGTGATGCAGAGATGAGGACGATGAGTGGGGGGGAGGTGTATATATCATGCCGTATTACATGGCCTGTGATCTAGGACTGGACCGGACAGGACAGGATGAGGCGGGCTCTCATGAGACCCTTTGGCGGTTCATTTAAGGGTACGATTTTTTGATGGGAGGATATGTATGGAGAATTTATTTGCCCGCCCAAGAGATAGCTGATTGCTGGATGAAAGGGGTTGGGTGGGTAAAAGCTTGGATAGAACGCTAGTGATCATGGATCTAATCTCCGCCCTTTGCTCGCTTTACTTGCTTGATCTATTCTTATTCTTGTGGATGTCTGGGTGTTGCAACTAACTGCTCCCACCTCTACACCATGCATATATCGGTAGGATGTTCTTGCAGCTCACTTGCCACTGATAAGCTGGGCAGTTTTGATACGAACTGCGACTCGCATCTGGAGAAAATGTCAGTGCAGTGCTGAGAAAATCAACGAACAACCGAGTGCGAGCAAGCGAACTGCTTCGAATGCGAGATGTTTGTGGCCGAATCTCATGATTGCAAGGATGACGACGAAGCTACAGCCGCGACGGCAAGAGGGCCACGACAGCAACAGGGCCGCGTATCAATATACCGATGGACCCCACCCCGATATGCACCACACACAAAATCGTGTGCACGCCGCCGTTATCGGTGCCGCTCCACCAATCTCGAAGTCAGCTTCGCCGCATAGTCGGCTGTAGCTTGAAGCGTTCGTGATGTGATCATGACGCCAGGTGGAAATCTTGTAGGCAGCAGCAGATCCACGATAGCAATGGAGCCAGGCTGGGGAAGATAGGTAGAGCTTCTTCTCTCTCGTCATTATCGTTGAGGTACGATATTGCGGGCAGCGCCACGTTGGAGATCATGCTCAAACGGCTCAGCTCTGAGCCCCTCCACAAAGCCCTTTGAACAATACCGATCTTGAATAATTCATCATGTGGGAGGGATTGTTATTACAGCATCTCGACTGGGGTAGCATTATCCATGGTTTATCAGCCCTCCTCCAGTCATAACTAAGTTGAGTCCAATAAGCATTGTTTAAATAAATGGACAGGATACAGAGTACCACAACCAGTAGGGATATATAACCTAGAAAAAAGGATGAGCCACTCTAATGCTTTGAGTGCGTGCCACGTCTAGATGTATAAAAGCTGCTTGTCCTCTTACTAGTCGTAGAGTCTTACGAGGCCAGGTAGGAAAAGACTATGACAGCAAGAGAGCCGCAACAGCGAGAGAACCGCACGACAACGAAAGAACCGCACAATAGCAAGAGAGCCCTGCGACGGCAAGACAGCCGCAGCGAATGTGGGAACGATGCCACCGATTATCCTAACTAAATTCTATAGTTGCTCTCCGTTGAGCCGCCTCTTCATCTCGACCTTTTTGCTTCCAGTCTTCCGAACACAGGTCCTCGTAGGTTTATTAGATTTCTCCAGATATAAATATCATTCAAGTATCCATGGTTAGTGCGGACGCTCACCACTTGCACAATCACTGTTCTCGTAACTATGAGCACCAGTGTCTATTCTCAGGCTCTGACTTGATGGTGTCTATGGTTCCTCTTCGGAGGGTTGGGCTCCACGAGTACGTCTACAAAGGAGGGGTTCTCATCACAAGCTTATTGCGGGTTAACGCACGCTTGCCAGCCATCTCAGAAAGTATAATCTTCTTTGGAGTATGCCTTCTACCTCTGCGAGTATATTACTTCTGCTTGCTCGTCGAAACCAACAGAGTTTCCCAACTGACAGGCAATCATACTGTGCTGTCGTACAGTAGACAGCTTCCTCGTCAGCAACAAAAGCAGCACTTGTGAATCAATCTCATCTCTTTGTTACTACCACGGGCCGAATCGACAATCGCCCAAGACCCACAACCTCTGGAGCTTTGCATTCAGCCCATAGGCCCTTCTTTTCGCCGCAACTCACGCCACAAAACATGTCTTGGGGAAACCAACCGAGGTCTCATCTGTTGGATCTCGAGATGCACACTGCAGTGCATCTCCAAGGAGCTGTCAACCTCGATGGTAACACAGACTGGTTGTGTCTGTCTGTACTACCTTGGGCGTGCGACTCGGGCTGGACTTCAACTTCATTCGGGCTCTGTTAGCGACTGGGATGTACGAGCTGGTCCGAACAGTCAGATGATACAGTGCAACCCTATGAGAAAACAATTTAGACGGACCCGGCAATATGGTTCTGGAGGATGAAGTCGAAGGCCATTGGTGTGTTGCCTCCAATATTCTCGGATTGGAGATGTGATGGTTAGTTGGCGCTGGACTTTTCTCTTCTGGGATTGGTTGTTCATGCAAGGGAGCTTTGTCAGCAGGGATTATCGAAGTCAGATTTGATACCAACGCGGCCATTCTAGACTACCATGCCAACTACATTGTCTCAAGCCGAGATAGCCGCTACCTTAGTGGATTTGATATATCGTGCGAGCATCTTGGAAAGATCCTAGGAAGCACTATCGTCTATCTGTCTCATCTGATAGCGGCAAAATATTTCTCTCTTTAAGACACTTTCTGAGATGCACCCTTACATTCAACGGCAGGGATACAGCTATTGACAGCTCATACAGCATGCGAGGTTGCCATATCCGTTGTTCATACCAGCCAAGAGAGATTTCATTTCCCCCTTCACTCCCATCTCCGGACAAAATACTGGGAACGAATGAAATATGTCCATTTTGATGTCAGGGACTAATGGTTTTAGGGCGGCTTTGCATTCTCCCATCCCTTGAGTCTGGAACGGGAAATCCGATGGGCATCTCCGTTGACTCCTTTGTTTCCCGCAATCTCATTGACAGCTCTCGAACCTCTATTTCATCCCCCCTTGCTTAATGTTCTCCCACAATACTACTTCGCTTACAAGCTTTCCAGCTTTCACGCTTGCATATAAGCGCCCTTGCCTTGCTTCCTGCACTCCAGCTAACAGACCCCATGCTGGCATTCCAGAGTTCACAGTCGAATGCCTCTCGTGCTTGATAACCCTGGGAACCAATCCGTTTAATTAGCTCAGCCGATTGACGTTGCTATTATGGGCGCTTGTTGCCCAATGCTGTGGAACGAAGGAACTATCATGCTCCGGCGGTTAAAATGTAGTACAGTTGGCATGGACAGGGGGCATGAGGGCCATCGGGAATCAAGCTCGTTACCTGTCAACGAGCTTGATTACCGATGGCCCTTTGACCGATACCGGCTTTGGGCAATTGGTATTTGAAGCTATGAGCTAGCTATGGATACGGCCTGGTAACTAAACAAGGAAACGTTACTATAACTCCCTTGGAAATAAATCAGCTTATAAGACATGTGGAGTTTATAGCCCGGCTTTTCAAACTGTAAGGGAATGCGAGGCAAGGACTATAGCACTACATTCATTTACCAGATGTCGGGGGTTTATAATCTGAACTTTCAAGTCAGGAGTTTCAGCAAGGAGCTTGTCTCAAATGTTATGAAAATAAAAATTCCTTGTGTTCTGGAGAAGGCTTCCACGTCACCTTCAATTTTTTATAAATAGTTAAAAATGAGACTGTTTTTTAACTTATTCTTGCTCCGATTTTCATCTCAACTGGTATGCAATTTCACTGAAATATCATGTAAGTTGTAGTACACATTCAAAGATTGATTTAAGTTCCCTGTACTGAACTTACCACAGCCAATAAAATTCAACTCGGCCTACAAACCCACCATGAAGTTCCAACTATCCACCCTTGCCATGCTCGGCTCCTTTGTGGCATTCGCCCATGGGGTCTGTCTCAAAACCAGTGGCAACGCTCATATTGTCCCCAAAACCGGAGATATGAAAATATTTGCCCTTCTCTACAACGATGGCAAGCTTGTTTGCAGTATCGATCGTACCACCTATGACAAGGAAATGTGGTTGGACTGCCATGATGGACACTATTCCGCGATTCCGGATGACCTTAGCGTTGTCGCGTATGCACACAACAAGGTGGATTACCAAATTCCACTCCAACCGGAGAGTGTTGGAGAATATTCCTGGGCCTGGAACGGCCAATTAGGTTGTTGATTTATAGCGCACCCTACTGTGACGGTGGCTCAAGCCAGGATTCAGCGCACACCTATACTCTTCTTAGACATCCCGTGGACAGTGCTTGAGAGACGGGGGGGGGTTGACGTTCCTGACGCTCTTCGGCTCCAGTCAGACAATCATTATTTTCAAATTGGGTACGGATAAACGATTGGAAATGTATCTTTTGAGTCCTGGGAACACACCGCCTCATTTCTCAACTTAGTCTATCATTTCTGGGGAATTTAAATTATACAGCTTCCACATAATATTTTGCTTGTTGCGCCCATGTGATACTCTATCATGCATTCTTGTCTGCGATCCCCTACTCTATCCCAAGAGGTATGCAAGGGCCATTCTGATATCACCGGATATATTCGTGCAATCCAAAAGTCTGAAAGAGCCTGCCTGCGACCTGAGGATTCCTATTAGCAATTTTAGCTGAGAGGGTTTATCTGCTGGTCTCATTTTTTAGTAACTGGCTTATTGGTTGCAGTCCTAGGTGATTGCAAGTTTTCAGTTGGACTACAGTTACTATAAATACAGCTGTTATGTATAGTACCTGTTTAGGCTTTTGGGCGCCTAAAAGTCTAAAGGAGGCTACATCAGTGTGTTAAATAGTATGAACCCGTACACTGCCAAGCACTTTTCCTGACATCATAGAGTCTGAGCGGGTCCCAAATAGGAAAATTTGGGATAAATAAACATTGTGTTACTGAGGTTATTATCATGTTGGTAGAGCAACTATCACGCACGTGCTTTATGCTGGCATGTGCATTCCTTGGCAGTATACGGGCCGTATACTATCTTACACACTGGGCTACATTGACTTGAGGGTTTGTACCAGCTATTTTAGCCGATAGGATTATCTTGTTGGTCCCATTTTTGAGTAATTAACTTATTGGTTGCAACCTTAGTGACTGAAATCTTATACTTGAACTACAGTTGCTAAAGACACTATTGTTATGTATAGTTCCTCTCCAGACTTTTGGGCGGCACGAATATCGGCTTTCCCCTAATAAAGTATCATATTTAGAACCTAGTTACTAGGCCCTAGTAGACAAAAATATATGGTATGAAATTCATCTCAATTATAGAGTGAGACAATTGTTTTAGTTTTGTATTCTTATTATTGACAACAGTACACTGCTCATTGGTATAATTTCCGGACCCCATCTGCACTCCCTTAGAATGGCTATTTGCCCCGCCCCTAGAATGCACCACAATGAAAGTCACTCCTTTCCTCCTTGCATGAGAGCTCCACTCGTAGACCTAGGCCTAGAATTATGTGTCGAGAAAGCAGCTGAAGTGGCTTGAGCCCATACTGTTTCTGTGATATGGTTTTGCGTGTGCATGTCTCATTGATATTGCCCCGTCCTCATTTTGGTCGACATAGTTTTTGAGAGTTTTCAAAGCTATATATATGACCTATATCCTCTATAGAAAGTTAGTTTAGCACTTCACATCATAGAATCAAGGAAATAATCATACCGCCACATTTATTCTCGCAACCAGACCAAAACAGCCCTAGAGCACTCCAGTCACCATGCAGTTCTTCCATCAACTTTTGGCGTTTACCTCGCTCGTCGCCGTTTCTAACGCTTGCCTTATACTCGACGGATTTATGACATCTGACAAGAAAGGGTTTTCGGGAATTCTGAGTGATAACGGCAAAAACGTTTGCAAGTGGAATTGTGATCTTAAGAGTGCTTCTAACTTTGCCACCTGCCTTCCAGGATTTGCGGCCTATATCACAAACGATGCAGCAATCGTTAGCTACATCAATAATGGTCATGAATTTGATTTTAAAACCACCATCAGTGCAATCCCAGCATATCCAGGACTTCCTATTAATTTTAGCGTAAAAGCTAAAAATTATGGTTGCTAGGTATGGAATTTCAAAAACTCGCCCCCCCCCCCCTTTTATTAAAGTACTAACAAATTATAACACGTCACAGATCAGCTGCACCATACCGCGAATTTGTTTTCTTACATTCCATTTTCACCGTTTCATTTTCTCCGATCATTACACGCTCACTCCTCGGACTTCCGTCAAGTTTCTTAAATACAAGTTCGCTGCACCCACACCTCCAACGCAACTACATTCAGCACCCTCTTCGCCTTCTTATTCCTTACGCTTGCTACTTCTCAGCTCCCTGCCCCTTACGCCTTCTGCCCCTTCCTCCCTACCCACTACCCCCTACCTCTTCTCACTTCGCACTTCACTTCTCACTGATTACACTTTCTACTCCTTACTTATCCCATCTACAATTTACCCCTTCTACCCTTCGCTTCTGACTGAATACTCCTACATTTGTCAACATTCAAAACTTCCTTCGGTGAATACTGCATGTTTCCACACACAGCGTCACTTGCAACACACCACCATTTCAGCGCCACAATGAAGTTCTTTCAGCCAATCCCTGCTCTTCTTTCCGTCATTACCTTTTTTCACGCATGCCTGACCTTCGAGGGCCGGTACACCGTTTCTGCTGCTCATCCTAGACAAATCTCTGCAACCCTCAACGATAATGGCAAAGCTACCTGCAGATTCAGCGGCACCATTGACCAAAACCATTACTTCGCCGACTGCATTCCAACATTTGCGTCATACATCTACAGACATTATCCAATATGTTGAACCTGTTTTCGTGTACCAACGACGGGTTGTTTTGGGTTGGAGGTGAAGTTGTGAATTTCAAGACGGAGCGCCCACTTTTGCCGTTTTATCTCAGGCGAAAGCCTACATAACATTCCGCAGTACATTCGAATAGGTCTATCCCACCAAAATCAAATACTACAGTAAGTAGATCATATTTATAATCCTAATGTTACCTAACAGTAAAAGATTTGTAGCACCCCGCCAATGGCAGAACACATTCTGAACTTCTTCGACTCAATCGCACCCAGAGACTTTGAAGCCACCCAGGAGGCGTGCGAGGTATGAATCTGAGGCACCGGCGAGTACAATCATATAATCATCTGACTTATATACAATACAGTCTTTGTGGGGGATTCGGGTCTCGGTCGCTCAATTGGCACTGCTAAGAGCTGCCATCCGAACCTTGGGATGCGATGTCCTGGCGATGCTCCATTGAGCTGTACTCTGTCATGCATGGAGAAGATCCAATACGGCGCCAGACGAATTTATACGACCGAGGACAGTGAGAGATGCACTTTCAATATCATGGTGATGGCTGGATTGGTTAAGGCGATCTGAGAGTTGTACAGAGGGCGAACGCGAACCATTCTCGTCTCTCCGAATCGAGGGGAGCAAACAGCAAATAGCAAATGGCAAATGGCAAATGGCAAATCGAATATGATTTGGGGCATTGTGGAACTTCACGTTGATGCAGGTGATTGATTGCGACGCGCGAAGGTTCAGAACTCGAAGACGTCCAACTAGGCTGCGCACTGGGTACTCATGAGTCGAGTAGTAGAATTTCTACTCACCCAGCTGAGTTACTCACTCATATCCCGAGTATTGTTGAATGAGGATTACTCACTTGCCGGGTACCTAGTATAGGTCTTGGCAACCCAGTTATATCACGTGTTTGATTAGTCATTGAAAAGGGGGTGTGATCGTGACTTCACATTGATATCGATATCGTAAAACGCCATAACTCAATAACTCCATTCCCATGTCGTTGATATCCTATTCCACACTATAACCTTTGCCTTTAGGTACCAGGTTACCAGAAGGTTGCCAGAACTTATCTAACCTTCATTCCTGGGTGAGAGACATTTCCATCGATTAAGCCTACAGCTCCATGATTAAACATCATATCCCGCAAACGCCGAACCAATACCATATCCTTTGCCTGAATTGTCACTCTCTTCGCATGAATAGCAAGGAGATTTGTCACTATAACTGTTAGTATGTCCCTGTCACTATGTTCAAGTATCATACTCTCAAATTCTCGAATGAGGAAGCATTCGGCAGCTTCCTGGAGAGCTAGGATAGCAGATTGCTGGAAGCGAAGATTGGACTTGAAGTCTTGTGCGATTTCCCTAACAAGACGCTGGAATGAGAGCTTTGGAATAATCAGGCGAGTATCAAGTTGCTGTCTTCTGATATCGCGGAGAGCCTTGGTGCCTATATGTTTATTAGAGAGTTCTGGTAATCCTCTGGTAATCCTCTTACCAGACTTTGCACGGCGCATGGCCTTCTGAGCATGATTGTTGCAAGCTTGAGATGAGCGAACTGGAGCTTTTCTTGCTGTGCGCACAGCCTTTTCCTTTCCCTTTCCCTTTCCACCAAGCCTAGAGCCAGCCTGTAATCCAAGTGGCATCCTTGGTGCTGTGCCGCCAGTTGATCTCCTAGCAGTTTGCTTAATACGAGCCATTTGCTAACATTAAGATGAGTTAGTGAAGTATACACAAGACAAAGAAGTAGATCAAAAGATATATGTACTTACAGTGAGTTTGTAGCAAGGATGTTGTAGAAAGAGTAAAGAAAGAGGTAGAGGTTGAAAGGTATGTGTTTTATTTGAAGGTACGCGTTGTAGTGTTGTTTAGAACAGTAATTATTTGCAGGTGAATATTCCTTGACGAATATAATTGTTTGCAACTTTAAAAAAACAACAACCTTACAACCAACCACCTTCCTTGGTTACGTTCCGATCTACACATTCTTCTTCTCTTTTGCGCTTTACCTCTTCACTAGGACCTCAAGTAAGTTTATTATCTTGATTCTACAGTCAGAACTTCTGATGATCTTCTGCTAATCACGTGTTTAGCATGGCGAAACGCAAGGCACCTGAAGAACTCTCCACTAATTTGAATACTATCAAAGCTCGCAACCGCGTCTCCAACCTTACTGAAGATGAGAAGGCTGTTCATTTAGCACTCAAGGCTGACCATGGCGATCTGAGCTACTACTTAAAGAAGTTATACAAGTCTGCAAAGTATATCGCTGCCTCTGCTGAAGACAAGACACGTCTACAGAATGAATTGAAGGTTGAGCGTATTCGTGTTCGGTAAGTTCCTTCTGGTAATCTCTGGTAGCCTTAATCTAACTATAAACAGGACTGAAAAGGGCACCCATGCATCTTGCATTGCGAATCAGAAAGTCAAGAATACTAGCGCCCCTTCTTCTTCTCCACAAGCCCCACCATCTACTCCGCCACAACTTCTGTCTGAGCTTGCTGCATTTGAGGGTATCACCAGTATCCCAATCGATGACGATCATAACAGCGAATGGGAGGATACTGAGGTTGAAGACGATTTAGAGTTGGAGCTTATGTTACGGCGCGACGATATT